AGCCGTGGATCCAGGAGGACTCCCAAGTTGCGAGCCCTCTCTGAGGGGGCCAAAATTTCGCCCCCTATAGTCAGCGATGGAGTCAGCTGACTATGCCGAGGCGCCGGCAGCCACAGCCACTCGGTCTTGGAGGGGTTGAGCCTGAGTCTGTTCCTCCCCATCCAGACCCGAACGGCCTCCAGGCAACGGGCCATCACATAATTTGCCTTGATTTTCTGAGTTAAGAGTTCAGTTCATAAAGTATATTAATAAATGACAATATTATAGTTATTCATAATATGTAGTTTCAGTAATATTGTTGCTTGCATGAATACTTATAGGAAAAATATTACAAACAAAACATGATGGGAGAGTCTCAACTTTCTCCAGTTGTTACTATAAATTATATTGGCTGGAGGATTATGGTAGATGAAGTTGGTTGAAGAATATGGAGATTTATCCACAGCATCAAGTTGATCTAAACTCTTGAATATCTTGAGATTATCATTCTAACTGTGAATCTTGTGCAACATTGCAATAGTTGTACCTAGTTTTTCTCTACCAAATCTTTAACTATATTGAGGATAATTGTTGGGGTTTTTTGTTGGCATGAGAACGAGATGAGAGACTGTAGCTTAAATGATAGATAGGAATATCAATATCTTTTTTTCTAATTCTAGTATGAAACTACAGATAAACATCTTGCACCAGATGGTCAATATGTACCCAGAATTATGTTTGTAGGTGAGTCTTTAGAAGTTTAAAATATTTACTTGAAAAACTGGTATTGAGCTAATAAAAATAGTCTCAACAAATATTTATTATGCAAACAAATGTTCACTATTCAATATGAATGTGGAAAAACTAGATACAAGAATCACATGCAGGTGACATTATTTGCAAAGTCTTTTCCCTACCTGGTATCATCTGAATGTTTTGAGATCATACTCCTCAGTATACACTAATTCATAATATACGTCTAATTAGGAATCTATACTTCAGATGTTGATGGTAGGAAAAAGATGAATGGCTAGTTTTATAGACTGTTGCATCTTCCCTTGTCTCTAGATCCTACACTGACTATTAGAGCAGATATTACTGGAAGATATTCCAACCGTCTCTATGCTTATGAGCCTCAAGATATTCAACTGTGTAAGTAATTCCTCTTTCATATCCCAACTTTCAGCAGGTTTACTAAAGGAAAATCCATTTGACTTACATTATGCTATAAGCAAATATTTGAATACATCATTAGAATTCTATCACCAAAATAAAATCCCTTAATTTGGCATCATTTCATTTTATGTGCTGCAGACAACAAAAACTAATAAGGTGTACAACCTTAACCAGTAATAATTACCTTTGGAGTTAATAATATATGTGCAGAATCTGTGCATAAAATCAGTATTGGCCTTAAAATCATTATTGACTCCTGGCAACTACATAAAAAAGCCCATTCTTCACAGATTGGGTGACTGATGCAAAGTCACCTAGCTGGCTTTTGGGTGTAAGGCAGGACTATAACTGGTGTTCCCCCCCCTACAAGCCCAGCGCATTAACCACTAGATAGGTATTTGTCAACCTTGGCAACTTGAAGATTTGTGGACTTCAACTCCCAGAATTCCCCAACCAGATTTGAAGTTCATCATCTTCACTTTAGGCCACTTTAGGCCAAAGTGGTTTTCATATGTAAGATGACGCAGCTACATTATCACAAGCAATTGACCTCTGCCCTTTATCTCTAAGTAGCAGACATGAACCACCTATGGCCTTAGAAGCAGGTGGATTTTGTTTTGTTTTTTTTGCAATCTTCTAAGTCCCTTCCTTCTACTGTCTTTGAAACCTGAGAAGAAAGTTCCAAAGTTGCTCCATCCTTAAAGCTTACTGATTTCACAAGACAGTTTGTTATTATAAAAGTTATTGGGACATTTTAAAGGCATGTAGAAGTTCTGAAAACATGGTTTATAAGTAAATGCTCACGCTATTTAAATCAATTTAAGGTGTGGTTTTTTATTTTTGCAGCTTGTTTAATTCAAGCTGGTATCTATAAAATTGTTTAATAGCACATTATGTTTTGTTTCTTAAAAAATAATGACTCCAAGTTATTTATTCCTAGTGTATACAAATATGCAGAAAGCTCTGATTCTGCTAAAGACTGAATTGTGAAGAAAGAAAAGTGACCTACTCTCAGCTCTTCTGTTCCTGATAGGCCAAATATGCTTATTTTTCTTCCCAAAATGAAGGCAGTCTGTACTTTGGATTTGCATAGGATATGGTTTGCTAATATGCTACCTTTTAATACCACAACTCTGTTATAAATATTCACTTGTAATGTTATGACATTAAGTATTGATTGCTTTTATAAAATAAAATAAAGTATGCTAAATCACAATTACATCTTTACATCCATATTACATTTTTACCAAAAAAGAATCTCCCTCGTTGTTATTTTTAAAATCATCTGTAAGTTTCTTAGTCAAAAGTAATACCCAGGTAAAATATCTGAAAGAGGTGAGAATGAAAATCAGAAAATGAAGTGTATAAAATTAAAAATATCAAAGTGTATTTGGATCAATTCATGGTGTCTTCAGTCTGGGTGAGAAAAAAAAATTATGTAAGAATTTGAAGATCAATATCTATCAATGCAATGTACCAAAAATTGTGCTTTGACTGCATTTTGCAAACCACTTCTATTATGAGGAATAAACACATGAATTTAAATAACTAAACAACTAAGTGAAGTGAAACAGGTATTTTCCATTCATCTGTGAAGCCGTTGCCTCAGTGTCTCAGTCTCAATTTACCTAAAATCTTTTAAATAGTTAATGGTTGACTTGCTATTTATATTACACATTGAAATGTATAAGCAAAAACCCTGTAACTGAAGTTCGGTCATCTATTAAATATTAGCCTAATGTGTTTAAGTATTAATATTGGAAATTGCCTTCCCATAATTATGGGATCCAGGCAGAATAGCTACCTTTCAATTAATACACAAATGAATTTGTCAGTCAACTGGCAAGTCATAGTTTGCCAGAAACACAGAAGACAAAAAAATTTTTATGTACATAAAAGGTTCATATATATTTTAGCTCAGAGTGCTGCATAAATCAAATAAAATATAATAGTTTATTTAACAATTTAATGTATTATGAAATGTGATATATGTATGTAGCCTCAGAATTTGTCCCCCAGGCCTCTTTCCAGGACTCTCAATGCAACTATTTACCATGATTAGTGAATATTGGCTGTAGATTGCTGAAGATGCATGAAAAACATTACAGCCATTAGTTCTCTAGGAAAATAATAATGTAGTACCATTTCTACTACTTCTTGTGATTTTATTCACAGATATGATGAAAGAACATTGGGAACTCAAATAGGTGGGAAGGAGATTCAAACTTTGCCAGTTTTCATGGCACTTCTGGGTTGAAATCAGAAATTTATGCTCCTAAACAAATGGGAAAGGCTAGTAGGCCAGTTGTTACTAAGGCTGCTACCATTCCAAAAGAGGATAAACAACCCATGAGTATTTGTGGTTTGCTATTTACCCTGGCATGGGAATGAAACACCATTGCTTCACAAGATACCCTGATTCCCAATAGATCTCTGGGTGTGATTCAAATAGTGGTTATCACCTTCAAGTCCTACATGACAGAGGGTCAGGCATTTTGTGGGATCACCTTTTCCTAAGTGTTCTGCTCATCTAGCCAGAAAAGAATAGAACAGAACAGAATAACAGAATGGGAAGGGACCTTAGAGGTCTTCTAGTCCAACCCCCTCTCAAGCACGAAACCCTATACCATTTCAGACAAATTGTTGTCCAATTTCTTTTAAAAGTCTTGTGAGATTTCCACAACTTTTGAAGGGAAGATTCCACCAGCTCTAACAGTAGAGGGATGGAAATAGTACTGATACTTTTGAATCTTGGTATTGAAGAAGACTTTAGAGTAGCATGATAACTAAATAAACAAATGGATCTCTTAAGAAATAAACCCAGAGTTTTTACTTGACACACAAATTACCAGCTTCAAATTGTCCTGCTTTAGACACATTATGATAAGGCCTAGCTTTCTGGAGAAGTCTATTATGCTGTGGAAGATGATAGGAAACAGCAACAAGGTAGGTGTACCAGTGGAAGTCCTGAAAAAGCCAGCTGAGGATAGATCCTTCTGGAAAAATCCATGGTTGCCAACAGTTGGCATCTAATTGTTGGCACTTAATCAGTTTGTGAAACCATGCCATCTAGTGGGATCCAGGAGACCAGTCTTCTCTAAACAGCATCCCTCCCCATTCCCTAATTCTGATAGCCTCACCCTTTTTTAGCTTTCTGTGGGGTCTTTAAAATCTGTTTCTTTCCTCAAGCATTTAGTTGTTAGTTGAGCCAGCTGTGTTAACTTTGGTTAGTGTGTTTTTTAATTCTCTCCCTCCCTCCCTCCCTCCCTCCCTCCCTCCCTCTCTCTCTCTCTCTCTCTCTCTCTCTCTCTCTCTCTCTCTCTCTCTCCCCAGTTTTACAGAAGAATTATTGAATGTGTCACTTGTACTTCTTTACAAGTACAGCAACCAAATCAGCCAGGTATAGACTCCAACAAATAGTAAGACTGCAGAAAGAATAATTGCAACCAATCTACCTCCCCTAGATGATCTATATATTGCAAGAATCAGAAGGACAACTGAGAAAATCTCCACAGATCCTTTACCTCCTAGACATAAACTATTTCAACTCCCCCCCTTAGGATGCCACTATAGGATATTGCATGCCAAAACAACTAGACACAGCATCAGCTTTTTTCCCTCTTGCTTCTGCTGAACACCTATTTCTCACAATACTAATGTTTATGTATATTTAGCCATGTAGTATGGTCATAGTATTATTATTACCCTTATTATCTTCTTTATCACTTCCTTATTGGTATGATCATGATGATGATGATTATAATGATGATCGTGGTGGTGATGATTCTGTTGCTTTGCATGTACACTGAGAGCTTCTGCATCAGACAGATTCTTTGTGTGTCTAATCATACTTGGCCAAATAAAGTATTCTATTCTGTTTTTCCAGATAGGTTTTTAGAAGCCTCAGTTGGATTGTACTGTTTATGTACATTTAATTATTAATGTGTTAAATTATAATTTTTGCTTTTATGTTACATTTTTGGCACTTTTTATATATTGTCAACTACCCACATTTACTAGATTGAGAAGGGCATACAGATCAATCATATCAATGTGGTGAATATTCACAAACTTAGTTAAGGCCAAGTTCTTCTTTGATAGAAAACTGCAATCAAGAAGAATATGTGAATGTCATCACTGTAAAAGGAAAAGGCAAGGAACAAGAAGAATACAAGACTAACTTGTATCAAAATGAATACCACTGAATGTCAAGATAAAGTAGGAGATGTATTTTAAATATAACTAATTTTTGTGTGATTCTTTAGTCAAGGGCAAACTGTGTTTAAGACTTCAGGAAATTCCAGGGGAAGAACAATATGAGACATAGAGGAGAAATCTTCTTACAGAAATATATTTAGATAGTAACTAAATTATGGGTTGATATTCTTGTGCTTCTCAACAATTAGCTCCACAGAAATAAAGAAACTCATGAATGAGTATTGAACTGTAGCCTAAGGTGCATCCATAGATCTCAGTTCCAATTATAGGTCCACAGCACTTCATGGAAAGTTTTATCTCTCAATGAAATCTTGTGATATATATGGAGTTTCACATATTTTCAATTCCATTTTCCATCAGCCCCAATTTCCAACTCCCCAGAGATGATAAAAACTGCATATTATGGCTATAAGAATTAGATAATCCCAAGACAGTACCAAAGAGATGAGACAAAATTTAATACTTGACTGCTCTCTAATGGCCATCTAGATTGCTGAAATTCAAGTCTAATAGTCCTCTTGAAGAGCAGGAACTGGTTCCCACCCTACTTTCAATTTCCAGAACTGCTTCTTCTTGGCAGTTTGTTTTTTCCCCCCATCATGTCATTATTACTTACATTTCTTTTAAGCTTTCTGCTCTCTACAGACTTCCTCCAATTATCCTTTTAAAACTAATATATTTAATTTGCTTGAACAATCTGTATTTATATAATGTTAATAGAAAAACTACAAATGCTTTGGCAGTTCAACAAGGGTTATGTTATATGATACATGGCTGCAACAGAATTTTAAATGTAATTATTTAAAAGTTTTATTTTAAAATAAAGAGAAGAACTACAAAGATATTACTTACAATAATCTAATACACATTTATTATCACATACTTTAGATATCAATGAACAAACAGTTAAATTTAAGACCCATATCAGTACCATAGTTTATGTATTACACTGATAAAATATAATTGCCCCTTCCTCAAAACCTCCTATCAGCAATAACTTACCATGACAAGCCAACTACACATTATGCGTCTCCATTTATCATTTTATGTTACACATCTTGTACAAATTTAGTATACTGTAAAAATTCATCTCTCTTTCTTACCGTTGTTCATATACTGGGTACAAAGAAAACTGATAGTCAACTTACTGAAAATTATAATGTTAGGTAATATCCAATCACCCCTGACAAATGATTTCATATCTTTTAGAGGCAAGGTAAATCAGGAGATTTAGACATAATCTGTTCTTGGGCTGAAACAGAATCACTATTTATATAGCCAATATTGAAATTAATGGACAACCTTGAACGGATTTCCATTTATATCTTGAACAGATCCAAAAACTGAAGAGGAGTTGATAGGTATAACTCCTAATTATTAAAAATGATGAGTTTTCAATTGCCGTGATTATTTGAGGGGGTTTCTTCCAAATTAATATCAGTATTAGAAACAAAAGCATAATTTCTTTATCATATTTCAAATGAAATGCACTGAAGCCAATAAATGTCTTTCAAAAAAAGGAGGAAGAAATAGATCAATGAAAGAGTTTCTGAGAAATGAAATGCATCATAAGAACAAATAAATCTTTCTTTAAATTAAAAGTAACACCAACCCTTTGAGAGAAGAGTAACATGAATAACTCTACTGAATCACTACATGCCTAGGGAATTCATATTCTGTTTAGTTATACAATTGTCAAAAAAGGATTTCAAACTAGTTTCTTCAAAGAACACTAGAAAACAGAATGAGAAGCAGTTCTAGATCTATTTTCTTATCTCAAAGGCACGTGCCCCCAATTAACATGGAGAGTAGACAGATCAGTGGAGAATTCAGCTTTTTAAAACCTTAGGGGGGGAAATGTTCAGTCCCTGAAAACATTTCCAGGTCAAAGAAATGCACTAGGGTTTGCACGTGGATCTTTCTGATTCCGGTATCTGTAAGTGAGCCACACTCCTAAGATCTGAAGGAAGAAAAGAAAGAAAGCATTTGCTAAAACTTCATAATATATTGCAATATCAGCTTTCAGCAGTCTATCACTTCATTTATAAACTTTGTCTATACCCAATATTCCTGACTCATTATATACTCATATATGAAGGAATAATATTTATGAGTATTTATGAGTAAATAATATACCAATTTTCAACCTTAGAATAACCTACAAAATTGAACTTTTACTTTTCCCGATATTCCTGAACTTGGAGTAACTTTGGATATCATTTTAGAATGAAACTATCTTTATTTTTTGTTATACTATATATTTCTATGTGTACTATCTCTATGTATTTTATTTCATCAATACACGTAATCCTTATTTAATGACTGTTCATTCAGTGACTGTTCAAAGTAACAACAGTGCTGAACAAGGAAACCTATGCTCAGTCCTCAATGTTACAGCTACTGTAATGTTACCAGAATCACATGATTGCCATTTGAGTTCTTGGCAATCACTAAGCAATTATGAAAGCAGCAGCATCCTACAGTCACGTGATTGCCATTTTGCACCATTCATTGTCATTTTCTGATAGGCAAAGTCAACGTGGTGCACTTCACATTTAATAATCTATGATAATTTGCTTAACAACCACAGCTAGAACTGACAAACGTCATCATAAAACAGGCAGTCATGTGATTCTTAATGACAGAATTCCAATTGTTGCTGGTAAGTGAGGACTATCTGTTATCATAAACAAGACTGCATCATTTTATCACTGGATTTTTTTTAAAAAAAGACTTTGCTTAAAAATTTATTCAGAAAAAGTTATTTGGAACTCACTGCTGTTCACTAAAGTTGCTTTCTTTTTTTCTTTAGATTTCTGCATTTGTCTGTAGACAGACCTTTATCTTTTTTTTTTTCAAAATAATGAGGAAATCTGAAAAAAGACATCTGATTTCATAGGAAGTGTTGTACTAGGATGAGGTCCAAAACTATCATTTTCAGAAATTTTAGAATGGGTACGGACCTTCATGTTATGTTTTTTGTTGCATGAAATCAGCTAAGTTGGGTATTATTCACATTTTTTCATTTTTCTCCATCTATAATTACTCTGTTTGCTAGCTACATAATCTATGAAGAGAAACTTCAGCAGATTTGGAAAACCACTGAGCTATCCCTGTGTGATGTTGAAAAAATTATTATCCAGAGCCAGACCTAGGTAGTAATTGAATAGAAGACCAATTTGTAGACTAGATTATTATCTCCCAAAAGGTAGCAATGGCAAATAACTTCTGTTCTGTGGCAGTTCATGCTTCAAAAATGAATTTGGGAAGAATTGTGGACTTCATGCTTACAACAAAACAATACCCATCTGCTACTAATAAAATAACCACATTATTTTGTCAGACTTAAAAAAAGACGATCAGGTTTTAAAAAGTCAGCTGATAAAAATGATTCTTCAGTTAGTGACTTCCCAAATTTGTGTGAAAATCATAAAAGACATGGCTACTTTAAGGTACTTTTCCCTATTTATTTTTCAAATGTGCACAGTCCTAGAAAACAAAATGGACTGTTTGTATAATCACCAGGAATAAGCTATAACTGACAATGTTACAATGCATGTGACCTGTACAGAAATAATTAACGGTGAATTCAGTGACATTCACTCCTGCATAGGATTTTAACTTTACCTAACAATGAAATAATTTGTATATTATCATGCTAAGAAATAAAAATATTTTTACTTTTATAGAAGAGAACAGTGTTTCCCCATATCAACACATTTACAGAAAAAAAAATATTGGCAAGTTCTCTGAATCACACATATATACACAAAAGTTTAGACTGATTTTGCACTTACCTCTGTGAAACTAAAGAAGAGACCAATGCCTCCTACAAATCTCAAGACCATTCCAGAATATTCGTTAATTATAGGTGCACAGGATTTACAGGTCAGCGTTTCAAAACATTCCTAAAAACAATCATTATTTCAATTCATTATTAGGATGTTTATCTGTAGCATGTATGATATTTAGAATATTTGTAGCCCCCCCCCACATAATATAACACTGGGCAGCTAACAATAATCAAACCAACATATTACAAATACTCCCTCCTCCCAAATAAAAGACCATCACAGACTAATCAGTTGACATAAAAAAACTCATACTAATTGCCCATAGTTTGGTCTCATGTTACATCCTGGCTCATAATCTAGGACAGGCATGTCAAACTCACGATGTCGCGTAAAATATTGAGACTTTTTCCCCATTGCTGGCAATGGGGTGGGCACGGTTTAAGCGTGATGCATCCGGTCCGCGGGCCGGCAGTTTGACATGCCTGATCTAGGAGAAGAGTCAACAGAAAAAGGACTACGGTACCTAGATCTCAATGGAGAGTCTGTTATGTAAAGCAGGTGCCCCCCAAGATCATGCCAAGTCCCTTGGGAGGAAATTGAGGACGAGTGCACCACCACAATGGTGTAACACGGGCAAATCTCAGAGCATTCGGAATTATGAACATGATGTATTCTGGACCAGTTGAAACTTCCAAGTAGTCGCCAAGAGCAGTCCCACAGCAATAATTGAATTAGGAGTGACTGAGATGTGAATAAGATCAGGGCAAGGCCTCCCAGCCAAGGAACAGGTACAATTTTCAAATTGCATACCAGCATTGTCCAGGTGAGTGCTACCTCACTTCAACACCTTATTGTCACAAGATAAGCCTATACATAATTTCACTTGTGATCTGTCAGATTTGCTTTTTGTCTTATTAGCATTTTCTCTTAACAATACTCTAGGTATCTCTTATGTTGTTTCATCTTTCAGAGCTCATGTATGAACCAGGGGCTCCATAAGATCCACAATTACAGAGCACATAGGTGGGATCCACTGTCTCAGTTGAACTAAACACAGAAATTTAGGAATAACCTCAATCCTTCTGAAACACACTGGGTTTATAAATTGCCTGAGATAAGCCAACTTTCCCTGCAAAGTTCCTGTTGGAACTCCAGGACCATGGCAAGGAATGAATTCACATTTTCCAACCACATTGTCATTGTACCAAGATGAAAAGCATATCTAGGGGTTGACCTCTGCTGTCAAATGGACCAACAATAAGCTATACTAAGTCCAAGACTGCCACAGTGCTCATGAATTCTGCTTCTTGGACAGATCTTGAAATAAGAAGATTTGGATTTCATATCAACCTTTTTTTCTCTCCAAAAATTCTACCATAACTGTATCTATTGTAATTAAATGCAAGAAATGGATTATGGATTTCAAAGATAGAACATTACAGATCCAAGAGAGACAGATAAGCAAAGTAAATACTGTATATAGTAATAAAGTTCTTATAAAACAGAACATAAAAATAGTCAACTTACAGCAGAACAAGAAGTATCATCACTGACATTATGGAAGCCACAACAGTTTAGAGTCCGCTGAATATCCTGCCTTGCACTGTTTGTGTTGTTCCACGCAACCTCTAGAAGTTTGCTCTATAAATACAAAGAAAAATTTTAGTAGCCAAGAACTGCTCTTTGCTATTAGTGTGATATAAACTTCTGCGTAAAGACTCTCATTTGCTAATTATATCATATAAGTTCACTCTCTTCATTCCAGAACATAGCATATAAGCGATGTTTGAGCAGGGTACGCAGGATTGTCTAGAACACTACACAACCTCTTCATGATTTGTTTTCTTTGTTACCTTCTGGGAGGATGCTCCGTGAACATCCAGATTCAGTCACAGTTTTGTTCCATATAGCAGGGCTTTTCAACCTTTTCACCCATTGTACCACTTTTAGGATATGGCAACATCCGAGTACCACCAGTCGCCTAGCAAGGTGTCAAAAACTTGATGACAAAAAAACACCCAGAAAAAGTGATAAAGTACAGGTGGTCCTCGACTTAAAAACAGTTCACTTAGTGACTGTTAAAAGTTACAATGGCATTGAAAAAAGTGCCCCCAAGCCACAGCCGAGCAAGATACCTGCCTGCCCACCTGGCGGCACTCTTCCTCCTGTCTCAGGTTTTTATAGTTGTGAGCATTTCTGTTGAGGATTGGCAGCGGGGGTGGAGTGGGGGGTGTTTGGATTTTATTCTCCCCATCTGCTGGATGGTTGCAGCAGGTTTTGGTCACTTACATGACCCTGGGACACTGTGACCGTCATAAATATGAATCAATTGCCAAGCATCTGAATGTAAATCACAAGACCTGGAGATGCTGCAACATTCCAGCTGATTGGTGCTTCTTCAGGGCTCAGCAGAAGCACCAGGATCAGCGCCGAGCTACAGCTGGATCCTGGCGCTGATCCTGGCACTTCCACTGAGCCTTGACAGCCCCGAAGAAGCGCCAATCAGCTGGAAAGTGGCATTGATCCTGGCGCTTCCGCTGAGCCCTGACAGCCCTGCAGCTCCAGCCAGCTTGTGCGGTGCTGCCACCGGTTCAGCTCATTCCCCTCCCCCGCTACCACTTCCTAGGATGGTCATGTACCACCTGCCAGGTGCCAATGTACCACAAGTGGTACCCTTACCACTGGTTGCAAAGCCCTGCCATATAGCATCAACCTTGTGAACTGTCAAGCTTGTGAACTGACTTTCTGCTATGTATTCAAGATGGACAGTGATTAATATTTGTATGTATTTACAGTATATGTAAGGATGTAGGTATATACACCTTTACATATATGTATGTATATAGCATGCCTTTATGTGTGTTATGTATGTGTACATTTTTGAGAGCAGACAACAGAATTTCATTTTTAATGTGTGCCAGTGTGCCCACAGTAAAAAATGGCAATAAAGATTATCTTATCTATATCTGAACCACCAATGCAAACAGAGTAATTTTTCAGTAGTTTAATTATTCATTTCATTTCCTTATTTTGCTCATAGTTTTAAAGCTTTCACTGCTTGGATTTGTTTGGATAGTACCAATGTATGTAGAAAATCACCCTGTTTCTTGGTAATAATAATTTTGTATCTTAGATGCATTATTTAGCCTCCCTTTCTCCCAGTTTTGCTTGCTCACAAAACATGCTTATGTTGCTGCTGATTCATTTCTTTTGCCATATTGGGGGTATATGAAGGGAAATGACTGTGTTTTGGTTTCTGTCTGTTCACAGGCTTATTTTAAATCAGATTTTTTTCAAATTTGGCAATTTTAAGATATATGGACTTCAGCTCTCCTAATTCCTCAGCCAGCATACTGGTTTAAACCCAGTATACACTATGAATGTGAAGAGACTTGGATTACCTTAAATGGGTGCATGTCTTAAAAAATGCTATTCAAAAGACCGTGTAACCTGCAGCTAAATTAAAGCTGTTTGCACTATCTATTTAACTGATATTTCTGGCACATTATGGTGAAAAACATCAGGCAACAGATGATTGGGTTTCTCTATTTCAGGAGTGTCAAACTGCCGGCCCATGGGCAGGTTTCATCATACCGGAGCCGCGCCCACCCCATTGCTGGCAATGGCGAAAAAGCTCCAATACGTTGCACGACGTCACGTGACATCGCGAGTTTGACATGTCTGCTCTATTTTGTAACTTGTGCTTTTTCCTTTTGTTTTATTTTTGGCTAACTGGAACAACCAAGGTTTCACAAAATGGATTAACAGTAGTAGTACTTAATGTTACAGTATTTATGAGGGAGAGGATCAATTCCATAGCCAACCTTCTCATTTCTTCATTATTTTTTATCAGGAAAAAAACTATAAGAAGAATGGAGTTAACTCCAACTTGACCACTAGTACACTGCTAGATTTGAGACACCAGCCATGACTGTCAACAAGGAGCTTCAATGGATCCAACCCAGGAAATGTATCATTAATTTTTATAGCAGTATTGCTATACAACTTTTTTATTTCAGTCCTTCAGCCAGCAATTCTATTCTAGAATGTCTTGAGTTGTTACAAGTTCTGTATTTTATATATAAAAGAGTCTTTAGAGTCTTTGATCTTTTTTTAAGATAAATCCTTCTTATCCTTATTTAGCTTTGAAATACTTGAACTGAATATCTTAAACTGAGAGCTGAAGTTAAGATTGTTGGATATGCGTTCACAGCATAATTCTCTTAACCTAGTGGCATAGACCTGTCCTCTGCTTTCCCTTCAACTGAGGCTTAACTGCTCTGTTTTCTGTAGCTATTGGGAGATTACGAGCTACATTTTGTAATTGTTACTTTTTCTAATTAACAAACAAATGCTCTTTTGCAGGTCCACTTCAACTTTGCCTCTGAATATCTTCTTCATGATCCTACTGATAAACATAACAACAACAACAATAATAATAATAGTCCCTCGGTATTTTGACTTTTTTACACCCTAATTTTACAAATCAATAAATAAAACTCTGCTTGGAACTGCTTACATACTACTTTAATAATTTTTAGGTCCTTGTTTAGGGCTTGATTATTAAGTTTTCACAAATTTTATTGTTAATCTAATTGTAGATTATACACGTAATAATAATACTTTTTAGATAAAGATATCATAAGAAATGTTTTACCTGCTGTTCTTTATTCAATGTCAAACAAGCACAGGAGACTGAGAACTGTATAACAAACACTAGCAAGAGTATAATCATATACTGAAGACACTTAGTTAAGATAATCAAAACTGCATTTGTAGAAATGATACACATATATTTGTTTGCTCTTTGATTCATTCATTTTATTTGTTTGATATGTGCTATCCAACTCAATCAATCGACTCCACACGGCATGCCACATATACATGGATAAAATGCAGTTTGCACCACTTCGGCAGAACCGGTAGCTAATTTTTTGTTGCCCAGGCCCAGAATGGACTTCCAGAAGCGGCATTCACACAGAGAACTGGTTGTTCACATATTTGAATCCCACCACTGATAAAATGTATATACAAATTTAAAAGATTAAGCTATTTTGGTCTGATTCAAAGGAAGCCCAGTTGGATGGGGAGATGACATTTTGGATTATGATTATGCCAAAATTTCCACCTGTTGCATTAACTAATTCAGGGATATTGGTTGTCATATCAGCTACAGGCAACCCCACAGCATTCTATATGCGGTCTCCAAAATATTCCAGCTTTGTTGCAGTTGCCATTTTTCAACCTGACTCTGGACCTTCTTCTTGAATCATTAGCTCCTTCTTTGTCTTACACCCCTTGAACAATTCTAATTAGCTTTTCTAATGTAACAATTGAAATTCCTAGTGAGAGATGCTATACTCACACATAATAAGAAGAGATGTTAGAATTTGCTGAAATGTGAAGCAATTTACCTGCTGTGTAATAAACAAGCTTTCTTTTTTGAACTTATGGTAAAGGTGAAGGTTTTTTTCTGTCAGTCGTGTCCAACTCTAGGGACGATGCTCATCTGCATTTGTTGGCTGAGGGAGCCAACGTTGTCCAAAGACAATTTTCATGGTCATGTGGCCAACATAGCTTTACACCAAAGGTGCATAGAATGCTGTTACTTTCTCACCTTCCCAATAAACGGTAACTATTAAACTACTTGCGTTTGCATGCTTTCGAACTGCTAGTTGGGCAGGAACTAGGGCAAGTAACGGGAGCTCACTACATTGCGTGGAGCTCCAGCTGCCAAGCTCAGTGTTTTTAACCACTGAATCACTGCACCCCTTTCTGAACATAATGTAGTTTAATTTGCATAAAAGATTCTTCAGGTAAATAATAATATAAGCTACATGAATATTTACACAATGAGATATCTCTTCTTTTTCTTACAGGTAATCCTCACTTTACAAACATTTGTTAATGGCGGAACAAAATTACAATAACCTTGGAAAAAGTGATTTACAACAGTCCTTGTAGTTATGACTGTTGTACACAAACACACCCACAGTCACATGATTGCAATTTGGGGACTTGGCAACTGGCTCACATTTATGATTGGCTGCTGCTTCCTGAGGTCATATGATTGCCATCTGCAACCTTTCCAACCAGTTTCCAACAAAATTGTCAATTGGAGAAAGTCATGTGGTGAGTTGCTTTATGCCCCAACTAACTATGGATTACTACGGTCCAAATTGGGGTCGTAAGTCAAGTGCTATCTGTTATTTAAAGATCATAGACAAGTTAGGTATTGAAGAAGTAAAAAGACCATAGGTCCACATGATCTTTCTTATGCTGGAATTTTAAAACATCTAGATATGCTTTAAAAGCTATTGTTTGATTCCAAGGGATGTATTAAAAAAAACAATTGTGCGACATAATAAGTCAATAAAGTTATAGTGAGCAGTGAGGACTTTTTCCATTTTTATCTTAAAAAAAGATTTAGTGTTTAAGACTATCTGAAGTCAATGCTTTTTTTCTTTAAATTGATCAGTATTTTATTTATTTATGTATTACCCATTCAACTCCAATGGACTCTTATTAATTGGCTGTCAAATTAGTTTAGTCTCTGGAAACTCTGGAGATCTGCAGCCATTGGAAAGAAACCAGTTATATCACTGGAGAAAGCTGTTACTATCTAATTTTTAGTGTCGTAACAAGGATAGAGGTTGAGTTGTTCAAAAATATAACACTTATTTTCCTGTACTTTAGTTGATTTCACCAAAACGCTGCCCTCCATTTAATGAACCTGCCATGAAGTACAAGAAACCATGAAGATGTCATTCAAAGGAGTTTCAGACAAATAGGGGAGATGTTTTAGATTACTTTCAAGTCAAAGGATACAAAGAAAAGCAGGACCTGGTGGTGTTTGATGGCCCCAATCAGTCCCACCAGAGCAATCAGGAAAAGAAAGATTCCTACTGCCACTGCGACTCCAACAACCCGGAAACTGGAAATCAGGCCAAAGCCAATGCCCCAAGCTGCAATTCCAATCAGCAGCAGACTGACCAACTGGTAAGAAAGAGAAAAAGAGAAGGAAAGTTTTGGTCACATGTTAGAACAATGTACTGTTCCTTCTCTAGCCAAGTGAAAGGTCAACATTTCCAAATCGCTGCAATAGTTTTGGTCCAAAAATTCCCACAAACAACTTCTCCTGGGTATAAAATTCACAGTAACTTGAAGAGTTGAACCTAGCTTAATTTTCATGATCTTAAAAATCTAGTGCTTCAGGTGCTACTTTAACTCTCTAAATGCCTATGACAGTTTTAAAATTATGCAAAGTTCCTTTTAGGAACCAAAGACAATCATAAAGGAAATCAGCAGATGCCAGTAGGAAGTCATCATTCATTAATTTAAAATGCTACTTTTGTACATTATGTACAATTGTACATTATGCATTTTAAAACACATTGCAACATACTGTAGTATGTACAAAATGTACAATTGTACATTATGTACAAAATGTACAATTGTACATTATGCATTTTAAAACACATTGCAACATACTGTAGTTCATGTTCACAAGTTTGATGAGTTTATAGCTTTTTTAAAAAAAATCATAAGAAAAAAAATCAAAGGAAAAATCAACCTCATATGTTGTTTTCCACATTTTATGGATAACAATATGGAAGTGGTTTGTCATTATTTTCTTCCAGAATATTTTTAATACCCTATCTAGCTTACAATTTTGCAGTTTTCTGGCAATCTCCTATGTGCTCATCTGGTTTGACCTGATTAGTTGTTTTTTTTAAGATCATCCAAGGTCAGCTAAGTTCTGCCATCTAGTTGACAATTTTGAATTAATCTTTGTAACAGCAACTTATAATCAACCTTTGAAAACATGCAAAAAAACATGTATCCTTATTTAATAAAAAAATATTCTGACACCTATGAACAACATAAAGAATGCCTTAATCCACAATGCTAAAGCCACACTGGAAATTAAATGGCAATTCAGCTTCACAAAGAACTTCAGAAATCTCACACTCTTTGGGTAGATGGCAGGCAGTAAGTATATACCACTTGTGATAGAAGAAGATAAAGGAACCATTGTCATTTGTATGGGGTCCCGTTAAATTTTTTAATTAGAATACAGGTAATCCTGGTTTAGCGACTGCCTCATGTAGTAACTATTTACAATTACAACAATCACAACAAAGTAACTTAAATGTAATTTAAACAAATTTTCAGATCTATGACCTTCGCAGATTTATAAAACAAAGGAACATTAAAGTATGATCATAAGCACAATTTCATTTAACTTTGCTTAACTACCACGTTACTGGTCCCAACTGTAGTTACTAAACCAGGACTACCTATAAGGTTTTTACTTTTGCCCAGCCTTTAATCAAAATTAAGTTTAAAGTCTGCACAGCACTTTTCCTCCCCAGCACCTAGCATATTTCAAAAAGGACAGCTTTGGCACAAAGAAATATTTGACAAGTCATGTTTTAAATGGAGGAAATCACTTTTTAAATGCAGGAAGCCCCCACCTTTCCTGTTTCTGTAAAAAAGAAAAGAACAGACATCAATGCAATGCAAAATTGAGCTATTGTGATACAGAATAACACCTACAATCAGGTGCCATACCAGAAATAAAAACTAACATAGTTGTTGGCCATACTGTCTGAGAATTTGGAGAGTTGCAATCCTAATACATGTGGAGATTACCAGGTTGGACAACTTTTTGATTTCTAGGGCATCACATGACGCATAGCTTCCCAAAACAACACTTCCATTCTATTCGGTATAGATGCTAAATGGTTGGCCCACTTTGTATGCACAAGTGCATACAAGATATCACCAAATTCCTAGAAGTTGTTAAGTTTATGCAATACTCAGTAATGCTTTATTATAACTGATCCAGAATAAAGGGACACAAACTTTCATTCTTGTAAAATATCTGGCTTTTTGATTGTACACATAAAAAATCCCAGGATTATGTGATGTTTAAAAACAGCCAAATGGGATGAATTTGATACATCAACCCAACCATTATATTTTCTCTAGGACTAGCAGGCTCAGTCATAAGAATTGTTGCAATCTCCATATTTTGAGAAGTTTCCAAATTATGCCTGTTGATAGATTTATAGTGGAACATGCATTACTTACATTTTTATTTTTCCATTGTGATTTTATTAGTCTAATTTAGTGTACAGTTCAAACTGATCAGGAAGTTTTTATAAGATGTAAAAAGTAGGAAAGCAATTCAGTAACAGTTTACAACTAGCTATCTGCAGTAAAAACTCAAGCACAAGATGTCAATAACAAATATTTATTTTAAAAGTTGACGTGCCGGACCATTACAGAGAATGAGATAACACTGCCGTACCATGCTGCAATTATAATAAAAGGTAAGGTATACATTATTCAAATTAAAAAACCCATTCTCAAACTCTGGAATTTTATCCAGTATAAATGTTTAGTTTCAACATTTGCAAGGTCCAGTAATTGTTTGCAGGCCTCAATAACCTTCATCGCTATAATCCCTTGTCGACTTGCCAGCTTAATCTTGTTTCCCAGGTTCTATGGTTTCTTAATGTAAGGACGAAAAGGCCTATCTTGAAACCAACCTGGAACATAGGCTTTGAGTAATTAAACCATCAAATCCTCAACTAAACACAAGAAAATACATTATTCATCATCCAAGATGCTTCACACATGATGTGGCAAGATACACAATTTCTCATTACTTCCTTACCTGGGACCTGAATCACAGTTTCTCATCTATGTGCTGGTGTCAGAGGTGGCAATACTTTCCAATTTACTGCAGAAATACATGACTTTTTTATTTTTTAAAGCTTAATAATTTAATCCAAAATTAAAGTATAGTAACAACATTACAAATGTTTGAAAATTAGAATTCTAATTTTTTTAAGTTAATTTAAGACAAAAAACAATAGCAAAATAAGATGCAATAGCAGTTTTATGGGATAGTCTGAAGCTCAAAAGTCCTTCTGGGACTAATGGAAAGAGAACTGGAAAGAAAATGGAACTCTCATTTTATATATGGTGACGGCAGCAAGATTGTTCTATGCACAAAAATGGATTTCTACCATGGACAAATGGTTATAAAAGTTGATGGAATTAGCAGAGATGGCCAGATTGACTGTGCTGATAAAAGAAAAGAACATTAAGTGCTTTTGTTTCTACTTGGAAACCACATCTGGACTTTGCGCTTGAGGTGGAAAAAATGGTATTATGATTTTGGGTTTTACCGATTAGACTGATTTGCCGATACAGAAATGGCTAGTGCATACTACTATAGAAATGTAAAAAGTTGAGATTTGATTTCAATGTCTGATTTTACTGCAACAGAGAAAGTCGGAAGTCAATGCCTTTTGTTTCTTTTCTCCCCTTTTTCACAACTTTTTGTTTTCCCTTTTTCTACTGTTGTCCCCTACTATTTGCTTTTGTATTTTCACATTTTATATTATAAACGAATAAAACTAATAAAAAGAGGGGGGGGAGTCATGGATTAAGTAATTTTATGTAGAGTCCTATTCCATTATCAGACTGCTCCAATGTCAAAACAACTTAACTGCAGCCTTACTGAAGTGGCCATCCTTGGGAAAGGGCTGACCTGGGAAAAAAATGTCCTGACATCAGAATTTACTGATCTGAAAAAGTTCACATGCCTCCAGAATAGATTATGAATGTTGCTAGAACAGATCTATCTAGAAGTTTACCTTAATCTATAATCTGGCTTTCTGTGATATTCATCCAGCTGCTTCAAAGAAAAACTACAGATATAGCAAGGCAAAGTAGTAGAAGCAGTAAATGAAGTAGACAAAGTAGTTATTACTAGTAAATAAACAATGTTTAGATATGTATTTAATGGTTCATTCAATGCACTAAGTTAAAATGTGGAGCGGAGATTCATCTGTTTTCAGACACTGACGTAGAGGTATGCATGCTCACAGTAACATGTGGCCTGACAATAGTGTATGAAAACTCTGCTTCCTGGTATAAATTTTTTCCCATATAATAGTAATTAAAATTAACTATAGTTAATATGATTCCTTATGTGTTTAACAATTGGGTAACAACGTTTGAAGAAATTTGAGGCACACCCAAGGTTTTGGCTGCAATTGCTCAGGGACTTCAGTTCTGTACTTTTGGCTTAACATGACATGATTTATTTAGCAAAGTACTTAAGCAAATCTTTGCTAAGCATGTTGTGTGAATTTTCTAATAGCCCAATATAAACTATTAAAAAGTGGAAAAAGTAGCTCCTCTACCCCTGCTTAAAAAAATGTGTTAGAAGTTTTTGAGCAGTTTAAATCCACAAAAGAAAAGAGTATTATCCTGTAAGAAAACATTGTTAGAAAGACTAAATTGTTCTGAATATTGTGGGATTCTCAGGCTTTAACCAGGAAAATGAGAGTTGTAATTTCATATCATGATCAGTCGCTTGATAGTGACATGGACAGAGAATAAATGTAATAATAAACAAGCAAATAAAACAAATAATGTCCTCTCTAGTGAGAAGAGAGGAGTGGAAGAGGTCAAGATGGCAGCCACAACTATGCAACTACGCAATCTTGGTTATTTGACCTCCTGTTGTTTCAGCAAGCATGAGACTGAGACCTTGTGACTCCCTACTCAGCGATAGAGTTTATTTCCAAGTGCAAATGCACAGATAGAAGTCGGAATCTTGCAGAGTTATAGAAGCTAGAATAATACAGCATAAGATTTTATGGATTATTACTCCACAATTTAAACCAATGTCATCTAGCACTGGCATGGGCATGCAGAGGCTTTGATATAAAATAAAAACCAAAAGGATCAAACTTTTTAAAGATGAAAACTAATAATTATTTCAGCTAATTATTCTCAATTATCTAACTTTGCTGTTCTACCAGCAATGATCCGCCTCTATGTCTAACTAATATCGAACAGGAAGACGTTCCACAGGTGAAGATTTCCCCCCAGTTGGATTTCTCTGTCAGGCGAGGAAGAAGGCTAAATGACCGCCCTGTGTGCAGTTGCTCGAGACAAAACAATCCTGCTGAACGAAGTGATATGCCACCTCAAAGTACACATCGGTGGAGCTCCCAGAGCGTAATCTCGGGTTTAACAGAACCGCCCGGTTGCCTAGGCGCCGCACAAAGCCTGCAGAAAAGGGGCTTCTAGCAGATTCGAGTTCCCGCAGTCCCTCGCGGAGGTTCTTTAGAACCGCGGCAGGTGCATCGCGTTTTAGCGAAGGAGACTCGCTCCGGGACATCTGGCGGTCACGACTGCGTCTCACCCTCCGCGGACTATGGGACTCGCACAGGCCTACCGTGGTGCTTTTTCGCTCAGCAGTAAGAAAAGACCAGTCACTTCGGGGGGGGGGGAGGGAAGATCTCCCACGCCCACCCACCCCCTGCTGCCGGAGGCTCCCATTCAGTCGCCACCTGGCTCGAGAACGCGGGCGGCGGCTGGACTTACTGTGTAAAGCAGGTTGAGAGCGCAGAGCCAATTCTTGGAGCAAGAGAAGCCGCCGCAAACCATCGCGCCCCTGCGGTTGTGCTCGCTGCTGCAGGGTCCCCCGATCTGGCTAACTCTCCTCTTCTTTCAAGGCAGGAAAACAGACCTTTGCCTCCCCTGCCCGAAGTGGAAAAGGGCAGGTAGAACCAGAATGACCACGGCGGCACTACAGGAACAGCAGTCACAAAACCCTGCTTTCCCAGCCAGCTGCCAGCGCCCGCTCAGAAACCTCCGGGGGGGTGGGGGGGTGGACCGCAGGCAGCCAGGGCCCTCATTGGCTGATCTTCGGAGACAAAGGTAAAAATATGCAAATACACCCGGCCCGGCGATCTGGTTTTGAACGAAGTCGTGGAAGAGTGTGAAGCGAGTTGCACTTTCCCGTTGTCTGTTTACACTTGTATTTTATTTAAGCTTTTAGAGCAAGGTTGCTGCTTCCTGGGGAGACATTGGTCATTCGGAAAACATAAATTCTCACTGAAGCAGTTCCGTGCACACGTAACATTTGGTTGATTTTGACTTAAAGTAAATTTAGAACAGCTCTTTGCTTTCCTCATGAGTTGAACATCATTGTTCATTATTTCTTTCCTATGTCTGAGTCAAAGATTGATAGGTATTGTAGACCAATACGTTTTTGAAGTATTTGTTTGTAAGTTCTAGCTTTTAATGCAATGCATATAGTTTGTACTATGTGGTTCGAAATTGTGATGAATTGCTTTTTCAATTCTATAACAAACTAAAAGAATAAATCCAATAATAAATAATAACAAAAAGCAAAAAGAAAATAAAAAAGCAAAAAATACAACAACTCTGTAAAAGGGATCTTAAATCTTAAACAATCAAATAAATCTTGACTATACAAATGAGATTCCCATAATGTCAGCAGAAAGTCTGCTCATACACAGAAGGTATAAACATATCTTTCAGCTAAGGTTTCAGGTGACGTATACTAGCTGCTATCTACACATGATAAGTCCAATGTTTCCTCATGCTTTGATAGATTTCCAATTTGGGAATATAATTTTATACACACCTTCCCCAATACCCTATTTATAAACTTACGAAGTGTAATTGTAAAAAGAACGGACCCAAAGCATGTAGGTTAAAAGACTGTTCCAGCACATTGTACTTTTACTGGTAGGAAACCCAGCCCTCCCTAGACATCTATGATGTCCATTAAACAGAAAATAATATTTTATTGACTAAAGACAGAGACATTAGGACAGGGGTGTCAAACTCAATTTCATTGAGGACCGCATCAGCATTGCGGTTGCCCTCGGGGGGGGGCAGGGTGGGTGCGGCCTACTGGGTGGGCATGGATGGAATGGGTGTGGTCTACTGGGTGGGCATGGCCACCTCTATATCGTTCGCGTCAAGGGTGCCTGTGGGGGCCTGGGCAGGAGTGGAACAGATCTGAGGGTCTCTGGCAGAAGGGGGTGGGACCAGGGCAAGCGCCAAGGCATGGTCCATTTCTTCATTCCTCACAAAGGGTGACACTTCCCCAGCATGCACCAAGGGGGCGGGGCTAACATGACAGGGGCTGGTTCCTCGCTGTTTCTAGACGGCCTTGTGGAGCTAAGACTGAATGCGTTTCAACATAGATGGCCACCACAAAATTGTACATTGGCTCACGGCCGGCCTGGGCCAGGGCCAAGGCAGTGGGGGCCGTTCCCTCACTGTTTCCAGGATGGCTTCGCGGGCCACATGAAACCACTTCGCGGGCCGCATCCGGCCCCCGGGCCTTGTGTTTGACATGTCTGCATTAGGATGAACAATAAGGCAACCCAGTAGCTATCTGATGTATGTGTGTGTGTGTTCCATGTAGTGAATTTCATATTTATTAGATTATTATATATTTGCCTTAAACCACATGCTTATCTTTAAAAAAAAAAAAAAAAAAAAGAATCACAGTAATGATTTTGGGTTTTTTTGGGAATGCAAGCAAATAGATAGCTTTTTCAGAAGTAACATTTTCTATATCAGTGGTATTTCCTTTCAAGATAGTAAAGATTTCAATTTTTATAACCTCTAATGTCATTTGACTTCTTTATCTAGTTAAACAACAATTCTATTTAAATTATGTGCATCAAAAAATTCTGGACTGATCAAGGATTGCATAAGAAAATATATCTTAACATCTGTGTCTCTTAGCAAAAAGATTTTGTGGTGCGATAGTAAATAAGGGAAAAAGACATGCATATAAAAACCTGACATTTATAGGAAAAATTTCTTCTGTCATCCTAGAATCTGGCTTTATTCATTTAATATGAATGGTGAGATATTCAAAAGGAGTTAGAGAAAAAGCTAATTCAGAGACTGAAGATTTTCTGTGTGACTAATATGAAAAAACTACATTAAAGTGTTGAGTTATACAGGTACTTCTCATTTTAGGATTACTTGTTGAACAACTGTTACAATGGCACTAAAAAGAGTGACTTAGACCAGTTCTTATAACTTGCAGTTACAACTGACCCTGCTGCAGTTATGTGATCAAAATCTGGATGCTTAGCAACTGGCATGTATAGTATCCCAGCATCAAATGAATACCATTTATGAACTTCCTGGGGGGATTCTGAAAAGTAAACTCAATGAGTGAAGCTGGATTTCCTCAACAACAGTGTGATTTGCTTAATGACAGGTAATAAGCACAACTCCTTTAAGGAACATATCACTTAATAATAGAAGTTTCAAACCCAATTATGCTTGTAAGTTGAGGACAATCTGTATAGAAAAGATGAAAACATTGCAAAAAAAAATACATGAAGAAAAAGTGATCTATGCACTGATGCAAGATGGCATGATGGTTATCAACTTGAATAGCTTAATTCAAATTCAGAGGTGAAAGGATTCCAACGACTGTGTCATGATGATTCTTCATCCAGGAAGTATTGCTTCCTGGATGAAAGGAAGCTTTGTGTCTCAAGGATCAGCTGGTTTTGGAAGGATGAAATGGCTGTAAGATTGCATTTGTTTCTTGCTTATGAGCATCTGATCAATATTTGATAATAGAGCGAAGCCTTCAGGTTATCAGCTTCAGTTTTTTATCTTTGAACCTTAAATACTGCAACATATTAGCCTTAAACAAGAAAGAAAGTGTCAAGTACTAAAGATGAAGTGTTATTATATACAGAGATTTATATCGCACCTCCTCCTCTTACTTTCCTCATACCTGAAAATGTGACCTTTTTGCTAAATTTCAATGCCAGTGATGCCAATAGGAATAAAGCCTCAGTGTGGGGAAAAAAGCAAGTACTATATTCTATTGCAGCGGTTCTCAACCTATGGGTTGCGACCCCATTTGGGGTCGATCGACCATTTCACGGGGGTTGCCAAGCAAGGCTGTCCGCCATTTTTTTCCCCTTTTCCGGCGGGTGCGTTACCTCCCTTGGGCTGGGCCAGCTGGTGGTCGGCCTGCTCCGTCTCTGCCGCTTGCCAGCTACGCCTCGGCCGGCGCAGGGGGCGGAACCACGCATGCGCGGCGCTCCCGGGCAGGGAAAGTCCTTGACGTACGACCGGTTGGGTAGTCCTCGACTTACGACCAGTTTAGTCCTCGACTTACGACCGGTTTAGTCCTCGACTTATGACCGGTTGGGGGTCGCGGCATTAAAAAGGTTGAGAACCACTGTTCTATTGCAAGGTGATAGAAGGATGGACCTCATCAGTATTGATTCTCATGATGGGAAGATGAAAAATAGTACATATATAAGGCAGAATTGGAAGCCTTTTGTGAACTTGACTCCAGGCAATGATATGATTTTGCAACTGATCTGAGTCACAGATACACAGCATAAATATCTTGACTTCCACCCAGAGAAGGAGGGGAAAATCTAAATAAAACGAATGAAAGGCAAATTATATAAGTTGCCATTTTTAGTCCTCTCCCCCATTCCTGGCAAGTTGTTGCTTACTCCAAAGTAATCAATAATCCAAAACTGGGTATCTTAAATTAACTGGATTTGATTGGATCTTTCTTGGCAGCCATTTTGTAGTGTTACTACCATATATTTTCAAGATTCCAAATAGTACAAGTCAGGCATAGTTGGAATCTTGAAAATATATGGTGATAACACTACAAAATGGCTGTCAAGGAAGATTTCTCTATTCATAAGATGGCCACCTGATAGGTGTTGTCTGTACAGAAGATGAAATAACACACACACACACCTGAATATTTCTATTATTTCATGAGACCTTGGTAAAGTTCAGTGGTATTTCTCCAAATGTATTTTATTTATTTTATTTTAGGCTACCTAGAATCACTTAAAAAGTAGGCGGCTATATAGATCAAATGAATGAACGAACCAACAAACTAGAGGCTGGAATTTCTCTTTGCGGCATTCCAGTTTCCTATTATTGTATTTTTTTAAAGTCAAGTGGGAAAACAGGTGGACACAAAAAGTGGTGTCTGGGACTACATTATTCTAACACTGAATTAAAGTTTAGTTCACAAAAGCTTATCTGATGATTCATTTGTTACTCTTGATTATCTTTCATTCTTTTGTTTCTGCTGTGCAGCTGTGTTAATTCTTCCCTGAAAACCAGGAAAACATGTAGATGAGGAGTAAGATGTTTATAAACCTGGGCCTAAATATTGAATGTGGACAAAGTCAAAGGCTATATGAGTAGGCAGCATTATTAGATTTTTTTTGAGTAGTACCTTGTGTAGAGCTGCAACTACTGCATTTAATATCCTTATGAACTCTGTACACCCTTCTATAAATGGTTGTAATAAGATGGCCAATGTTCATTATCTGCATACTCAAGGTGCTTTCTTGACTGAAATGTTCAGTTTGCTAGATAAAGGCAAATATAAATACTGTATATGCTACAGCAAGTTCACAATTTAAAGAGCAAGCTGCTGCAGATGATATGTCCGGTGCAAGTCATGTGTTGTATGTAAATGTAGAAATAAAAATGCAATAATTATGAAAAGATAAATAGGTTGATCAAATGCAAAGGAAGGAATGCTTTTAAACTAGCCTGAAATTTTTGTGGTGGAAGTGTAATGTGTGAATCCAGAGGGGGGGGGGGGATAAGCATTCTCAGTGTTCTACTATAGCATTAAGTCATATATCATGTAGATGCAGTTTCTTATCCTTGCATCTTGAGATGCAACATTTTCCTTCAGTAGATGAATAGCAGCTCTGTGCATTTGTTGTCTGTTGAAACAGTTCAGAAAAAAGGTACCCTTCGACACAAATACACATTACAGAGCTCCTCAAACAA